AATGCGTTTCTAAGACAATAAAACTTTAAAAAATAACAATTGTTTTAAAACTTCATTAGGACAAATTATCAGACATCTAACATTTTAACATTCCATTATTATTTAGCCTTAAATTCCGGAAATGTTAAGACATAAAGGCCATCAAAATTAATGAAATTATTCACAGAAGAGATCTACTGTTTGGGGAAATGGTCTGAATTTTCAGTTGTGGTGATATACGCACCAAGTTACAGCTTTTCACGTAAATTGCATTTCTGAATTTGGTTCTGTCTAGAAAACACCCCAAGCCTGAAGCACTTCAAACACATCTAAAACACACAACTCCAGTTGCTCCACCCCAACAATGCATAAGTAATCACACTCCTCAAGCAACCCCAGCTTTTGGGAAGTTACACAACTAAAGCCAAACAGCCAAACTCCCAAATGAAATCAGCAGCAGAACTCCCCTACTTGCTGAGGTGCAACTGAATCCAGCCGAGTACACACAAGAGCAGAGGATCTGTCCAGACTCCATGAAAGGAGTAATTGCAGTGTTGACACCCAACACTGATGGCTTCAACTACACACTGCCATCAGTAGACTTCCCACTTCTATCAGACACTTAAAAAGAAAAATATGTTAGCAATAAAACCAGAAACATACTCTCCAAGTAGAGATGAGGGTGTCAACAAATGCAGAGATATTAGTATATGGTCTAGTATTAGCAATATTTATACAGATAACAGTAAATATTAAATTATTATAACTATTTATACAATAAACACCAAAGGAAGAAGCACCATCATCATTAAGAAGGGCAAAGGCAACACAAAGGAGTTGAGAGAAAGAGTAATCAACAACATAACATGCTAGCTAAGTGGGACAATCTCTTGTCAGGAAAAAGCTATTGAATGCAATAGAGAACTAGAAAGCAACATCAGAAAATCACAAAGCAATTAAGTCAGCAGGGGGCTTAAAAAATGCAGTCACATAAGAAAAGGCATTAGAGTTACACTTTGCTTTATGCAGAGACAGCTGGAGAAGAGCAGGGGAGGTCAAATAAGAAAAAAAGTATCCCAAAACAAGAGCTAAAAACAGTCCTGAAGAGATGGTCCCACTTCCAGTTACATTGAAAAAAAAAAAAACAAACCACCAACAAGGAATGCAGCACAACATTATTTAAAAAGCAAGGCTCAGTGCTACTCAAGAGTTGAGAGGAAGAGGAGAGGCAGGACAGAGGCTGAGGACATTGCACAGATCCCACCCAATCCCACTGCCAAACAACTACAGACCCCTTCCCACTCCCTGCTGACTGAGGCATGGCCCCAGAGCACAAGTCAGCACTTTAGATAAGGTATCCCATTCCTGCACAACTGTGCACATACACCAAACGCAGCAACTCCTGAGCTGCCTTCACACTGAGCTCCCAGTCAGTACAAACATTAACCTCAACAACTGCCAAAAAAGAAGAGAAATATCACCCTATTTTTTAAGAAGGTAAAAAATGTAGGAAGAAGAATTAGCACAGCTATACAGCTGATCACCATGACAGATTCAAGAAGAATTCAAGATTTTCTGGCTTCTTCAATCACCACTGACCTACATTATCTTATCAACTGCTTCTAATTTCCCCTTAATTTAATCTGTGAACTACTCTGGCTATTTTACTTCCTGTTCACTTTCCTGCAGAGTTAAACTTTAAATAATAATAATTTTAAAAAGCCACTAGTTTGTCACAAAAACCCCTACACCCTTCTAGGTCCTTGCTAATGCCAGAGGAAAGACAAGATTTTTACATTAATTAATATGAACTTTACAACAGGCCACATAACTTCAGCTGTTCTCTAAAAAGTTCTAATCTTTTATTTCACTTGTAGCATTTCTGCCAAATAGCAGATACAGGCTGCACTAATACCTGTGATATCAGCAGATTCACTTGTACTCACATTACTGTAGCTCTGTTTTTTAAGTTACAGCCTGATCATACATTTACTTATTAACTCCAAAATGCTCCTCCAGTAAACTAATGCTCTTACCATAGCAGAACAGACCCTCTCCCCAAAGAACAGCTGAGTATCATCTAGGACAAATTAGCATCACCTGCATTCAGAAGAAATTGTTCTATCATTAAAAAATGTGATGAGATCACACAACCCATGGCCTGCAGTTCTACAGGGCCAGCTCACAAATACAAATATTCACTCTGGAGAGGCACAAGCAGCTTTACTGACTGCCATCACTTTTAGCAGCAGTAAAGATTTACACGAGCCCACACACTTGGAAAGCTGATGCTCCAAACCTGAACTGCGCTAACTAGGGTGGGCTCTGTGTGCCTGAGAACAGCCAGTTTGGACTCCTGTGCACTGTCCACAACCTTCTCACACCATGGCCTGACAGACTCACTAATCTCATGCACAGCGAGGCCACTGCAAAACGCACTACACCAACAATCAGAGCATTTCTGTTATCCCCTAATCTCTCACGGGACACTTCAAAGGTACTACACGATCTTTCCATCTCTACCGTGCCACTCTCAGAAAAACACATCAGCAGTCACAGGAACAGAAAAGAAAAACAACAAAAAAGGAAGAAAATGGGTTTTTTTTAATCATAAAGGGAGAAAATATGAAAGCTATCCTACACACTGGAAACACAAAAGCTGGATCCCCTCACAAAACAATAACCCAAGACTTACTTTTCCCTTCTCAAGAAACAGGAATTTTAATACCTTTCCTCTCCTTCTCCCAGCACAGTAGAATGGAAGGGTTCACACCAACCTCCTCAGAAAAAAACCCACAAAATCTCCTGCCTTCATTCAGCTCTTGAATACCCAACAAGTACTCAAGTTTTCAAATCCTGTGCCAAACACCAGAGAGCACACAAGTAAACAGATGAAAGAATCTGGCAACAAATGACAAGAATTTGATATACAAACAAACAAAGGAAAAAAATCCCAAGTGTAGTTTAGAGGAGAGGTAGCAGGGAAATGGGTACAAAAAGCTATTGTGCTCTACTACACAAAAAAACAACAGGGAAACAAAACAGCACAAATTTCTCTGCCATTTTAAATGTAGGATGCTAGGAGCATCCCTAAAAGATTCCCCTGCATTTACAGGGGAAAACACACTATATTTTACTGTTTAAGCCACTATGGACCAAACACCTTTTGGCCACACATGTGACACTGTTAACCTTTCAAAGATCTTCCACTGGGATTCTGCACTGTCCCATTAATATTTCAAGCATCAGAAACTGAAATTTGTCGCTCAACATTTTTACACATCACTTTCAACACAATAAAACACACACCTGTTCCATCTGTTAACTTTAAAAACAGTGTCTACTATAAAATAAATTACAATTTATCTTATAGCTCGTGCGAGAGCTCAGCCAGCCTTGAAGAAGGGACTTGAAGGCGCCCTTAGAGACCGGCCATAGCAGCTCACTGCAAATACCTTGAGCCAGACCGAAAATCTCCTGCTTCCATTAAAACCCATAACCGGGAAGTAATGCAGACGCTGCAATATTCGGAGCGCTTGTGCAGCCTAGGCAATCATATAGCGAGGGGAAGGCCGAGCACAAGTCCCGACTTCTGCCAGGACGGCAGCGGGCCACAGCACGAACCGCTCTTGAGGTACGCGCTACTGCTGCCGCTGCCCGACCTCCGGGCACGGGGGCCGAGGCAGGGCTGCACCGCCGTCTCTCCGGCAAAGAATGGCTAGGGCACGCACGGACCGCTCCCACACCCGAGCAGGAGGCCCCGGGGCGCAGGGGAGAGTTGGAAGCGGGCCGGAGCGCCAGGCAGAGACAGCGGCGCCGACAGAGGCGGCGGGAGGGCAGGGGGCGGCCTCGCGGACAGAGCAGCCGAGGCCCAGCCGCGGAGCTCGGGGCGGAGAGAGGCCCCAGGACTCGCGGGCCCCAGGCGGCGAGACCCGGAGGTCAGGGGAAGCCCGGCGGGGCAGCAAAGACCCGAGCCGGTCCCACTCACCAGGCCGGTCCCTGCAGCGGTGGCGGCGGATAGAGCCGGGCATTCAAAATGGCGGCGGCGCGGCCGCAGCACCGATACCGCAGGCGGAGGGATCCAGGCCGACTCGCTCCCCGCGACTCCGCAGGCTCTGCCGACCGCGGGTGCGAGCGCGGCCGCGCCGAGTTCGGCGGGAACGGGGCGGGGATGGCGAGAGTGTGGTACAGTAGAGGCGGTGGCGGGACCGAAAATACCGCTTGCACTACTTTTCTTGGCGGAAGCACCCGTGAGGTCTTATACGAAAACTTGCGTCTGCACCGTGGCATTCCCTGATGACGTCATGCGCGAGGCGGTCCCGGCACGCGCGCTCCCCATGCCGGGGCCGGGCGGGACCCGCCGCCCGTGTCCGCGGTTCCGGGATCGAGGGGTTCCGAGGGGCCAAGCCGCTCCCAGTTCGCCGAACCTTGCACTGTTGAAACGTCCAGCGGCGGCGGGGTGAACGCAGGGCGCCGCAGGAAACGAGGCAGCTCTGGAAGGGGATACAGAGCCACCCCCGCCCCAGGCAGCTATTCTGTTCCCGCTTCCAGGACCTTATGCCACATTAACGATTATCGAATGACGAGTAGCTGCCCCCGCGGAGCCCGGTCGGCAGCACGGGGCCAGCTGGACACTGCGGGGGTGCGAGACAGGGCACGGGCACGTTCAGACCGAAGGCTCCTGCAGGGGAGCCGGGCCACGCTGCCGCTGGGCCCTCGCTGCCAGCCAACCGCGGAGCGATCCGGTCCGGGGCGCGGGGCCAACAACAGCCGCGCGGCGCTGCCGCCAGGCGCCTGCGCTGGGGCCGGGCGGGCGCGGCTCGCGGGTCGAGCTCAGCCCCGGGCGGACGCGGCTGGTTGCCACGGCAACAGCGCTGCGCGTGCCCCGGGACGCCATCCGGCGCGGCGGAGCCACGCCTACCGAGCAGTTCCGGCGTTCGGCGTGCGCGTCATTGCCATGAGACGCGTCATCGCCGTGCGCCACGGGCGGGGAGGAGCCGGTCCGGGCGCCGGGCGGGCCCGCGGGGCCGGTCCGGGCCATGGCGGGTGAGCCACGGGCACCGGGCGGGCACCGGGCGGGAACCGGGCGAGCTCGCGGGGCCGGTCCAGGCCATGGCGGGTGAGCCGCGGGTACCGGGCGGGCACCGGGCGAGCCCGCGGGGCCGGTCCGGGCCATGGCGGGTGAGCCGCGGGCACCGGGCGAGCACCAGGCGGGCCCGCAGGACGCTACGGGGCGGGGTGCGCGGTAGCGCGGCCGCGGTTTTGGGGCCGGGGTTGGGGGCGGCGACCGGGCTCGGGCGTCTTCCGTCCTCGCGTCCCGCACCGGGGCCAGCGGCCGTCGCCGTGGCCGTTCCCGGGGCCGGGGTTCGGGCCACCTCCCCTTCCCGAGGCCTGGACTCACGGCTCCCTCTGTTCCCGGCACAGGTGAGGCGGCGGCCGGCGGCGCGGATCCCGGAGCCCGCGCGTGGCAACCCCAGTGGGTGCCCCCATGAACGAGCGGCGCGGCCGGGGCTGCCGGGACACCGCAGGGCGCCATGAGAGCGGGCCAGGAGCGCAGCCAGGAGTGTCTCCCGCCCAAGAAGCGAGAACTTGCCGCCGCCAACACTGGCACCGAGGCGGGACGGGCCGGGGGAGCCCAGGGCTCGGGCTCGGGCCCCGAGTGGGCTCGCACGGCTCGCCCGGCTCCCGCCACACCGCGCTACGGTCCCGGCGAGGCCCCCGAGGCAGCAGCGGGGCTGACGGTGGACCAATACGGGATGCTCTACAAAGTGGCAGCACCGCCTGCCACCTTCTCCCCCACGGGCCTGCACCCCGTGGTGAACGTGAGCCCCCTGCCCCCAGCCTTCAGCGTGACCTCGCCCATCATCCAGCACCCGGCGGTGCCCTTCCCCTCCATCCACTATGCACAGATCCCTTCGGCTTCCCTGCAGCTCATTGGTTCCCCCTACACAGTGCCCTATGCCGTCCCTCCTGCCTTCATGCCTAGTCCTCTCCTGTCTCCTTCCACAAACCTCAGTGCCCCCCATGTCCCCCACTTTGTTCCATATGCCTCCCTGTTCACAGAAGAAGCTGCTCCTTCCTCCCAGACTACCTCTCCTACCCACAGCTTCAACAAATCCACCTCTGCAGCCTCTCCTGGGCAGATGCAGCACCACACTGCGTCCCAACCAGTGGACATGCCACCGGGGAGGATTCCTGTTTATTATCAGATGTCCCGCCTCCCACCAGGCTATTCAGCCTATGAGGCACCTGTAGCAGGTGGGAACCCAGACTCTCCTCAGCAAGACAGTCAGCTGAGCTCAGAGGTGGCTGCGGCCAATGGTGGGCAGAGGCCCCTGGAGCAAAGTGTGGCCAGGAGGCCCAACGAGGCTGTGGACTCTGCCAGCAGTGCAGCTGAGGACTGTCTGCCCCCAGGGGCTGCAGCAGGATCTATGGGTGATGGACAGTTCCTTCCAGGTCACCAGATGCTGGGAAGAGAGATCTCTGTGCCTACTCACAGGAGCACCCCAGACGCTGATCTGGAGGTTCAGAGAGTGGTGGGGGTGTTGGCATCTCAGGATTATCATGTTCTGGCAGCCCAGAGGAAAGATGACCCAAGCCCTTTAAATCTTTGCCATAATACCACTGATGGGCAGGGAGACATGCTGAGGAACACCACAGATAGGGCTGCAGCTGGGAACAGCCAGTCCCAGAGCCCATGTGGAATGTCCCCCGAAGAGACTGCTAGACAGAGACAGTTAGCCAAAGGAATGGTGATAGCCAATGGCAAGCCAGTACTTGTTCCCGTTGGATCTGAGCCCGTCAGGTCTTCCACTTCAGAAGTCCTGCTGAGGGAAAGCCCAGATGCACAGGCTCGAGGATATGTGCTTGAAAAGGAGCTGGCCCAGTTGCAGCCACCCAGTTCCTCACAACTGCCCTCTCACTTCATGAAAGGAGCCATCATCCAGCTGGCGACGGGAGAGCTGAAGCGGGTGGAGGACCTGCAGACTCAAGACTTTGTTCGCAGTGCGGAGGTGAGTGGAGGCCTGAAGATCGACTCCAGCACTGTGGTGGATATTCAGGAAAGCCAGTGGCCTGGGCTTGTCACACTGCATTTTGTGGTTGGGGAGCAACAAAGTAAAGTGAGCATTGATGTGCCCCCGGAGCATCCCTTCTTTGTGTATGGCCAGGGCTGGTCCTCCTGCAGCCCCGGGAGGACTGCTCAGCTCTTTGCTTTACCCTGTCACAGGCTGCAAGTGGGGGATGTATGCATATCAATCAGTTTACAGAGCATGAATGGCAACTCTCCTTCTCAGGCCAACTCCCCTCTCATGGATCAGCTGGTATCTGCTAGGGAGAGATTGGAACGAACAGCCCAGGGGCCCAGAGAGCCATGTGACAGAGCTGGTGAAAGGAAGAGCCACACAGATAGAACCAGCACGGCTCAGAGCTCCCATGCAGAATCTTCTCAGTCTGAGGCTGGCAATCTGTACAGTTTGGCCCCAGGCTTCCAAAGATACAGCGTGCAGGCAGAGGAGCCTCGGCCCTCTCTGCTCCGTCCCTCTTTCATTCCCCAGGAGGTCAAGCTGTCTATTGAAGGGCGTTCGAATGCAGGGAAATGATCCCTTAGAGGTGTGAGCTAGGGCAGCCACAGCAAGCGAGCCTCACCATCAGGTGGAGGAATTGCACAGACTGTCAGAGGCTCACCAACAAAGGCTGCTTTCTGCCTTGCAGGAATAGCTCCATTCCAGTTCCATGGCTGACCAGTTGCTCCTGGGGAGTCAGGAGGCCTTCAGTGCCTCAGGGAGCAGCGACAGGCTAGCTGGGGTGGGGAGCAGGGATGTGGTCATGAGTGTGTGATGAGAGCATTCCACAGGCTGCTGGAGGCTGGGGCTTTCTCCCACTTCCTGGGATAACTGACTCCCTGCGGGGCAGGGGCTGAGCATTTGGGGCAGGTAGGGAGATGAGGAGGGCAGACTTGTCTTAAGGTAGCAGATAAAATTGCTGAAGATTTTATTTCTCCTTTCTCATGATGGGGAGATATGGGTCCCCCCTGGAGTTTGGGGGCTCTACTCCCAGCATCCCCTTTCTTCACACATGCACTTTAAAAGGACCGTTCACCGATGGAGCTCTCAAGGGCAGGATGGAGGTGCTTCTCTGGTGGTTCTGATTAATGTCTCTTCCACTGAATCCAACTACTCTTTCTTCTTGCAAAGAATGTACAGATTTGAATGAATCACATAAATTCAAGAGGAAGGACCAAAAGGATGGGCTTGGGTGCAGGTGAATAGGGAACTTGAGCACTTGAGATGGGACACAAGTTGGGATGGGAGACATTGTTTCCTGCTGTAAACTCTACTTAGTTGTTTTGCCACCAAATCAAATCTTTCTTCCTATGTTAATAACTTCCAAAAAACCCTCCTGGGCTTATAGCTTTTGCAGAGGTTAACCGAGGGATGAATGGGGTTGGATTTTTTTGTTTGGTCAAATTTTGATTTTGGATATTTTATTGGTTTGGTGTTTTTTTTTTTTTTTTTTTTTTTAATCTGGAGCAAAATACATTCAACATTCTCTAGAGAAGGTTGAAAACATCCTTCTTCTGTGAGAAGACCAATGCTATTTTGTTATTAAGTCAGAAAAATGTTCCAGATGGCTAGTTCTTCCCTGCAGGCAGTTTCTTGAATAAGCTCTATACAAGAGACGAAGTGTTTGTGCACATGCAGACAAGGTACAAAATTTGTGCTAAGTACAATTCTATGATTAATGTACGGACTCTAGAAATATCATAGTGTCACAGGGCATTTTGGGGTCATTTTGTGTTAGTTTTTCTGATGCTTCACTTCAGAGTTCCTCTGTAGAACAATGTAATCAAATCAAGAGTAGTTTTTTTCATGGTGAAATTTAATACAGTTGTGTATGAACAGCTGATTGTGGTGGTAACACTCTATTGAGTGAAGGCTCCTGTAGTTACACTAATTTGCCCTCTCTGATGGTGTTATGACACCATTGCTCAGCTAGGATAAAGAATAGTCACTGTTCTGGTAAGAAAATGGTTTTCACTGACTTAACCTGGGTTGAGTATTCCTTGTGTTGAGGTGCCCATCTCTGTGCTAGGACCAGGCTTTGGAGGGGGCTTTCTTAGTACGCAGAGTCCTGATGTTCAGCATGCTGTTCCTATCTCCCTGCTCTCATCTGCCTGAAATTTGTCAAGTGTGCCTGACTCTTGGGGTGCCACTCCTCTCTGTCACAGAATGGTGTGTGTCAGCACCTCCCCTTGCAGTGGTGCTGTCTCAGGGCTGTTCTGCACTCCCCAGGAGTGTGTCCTGTAACTGGTTTGCTTCTGCTGACTGTGCAATGGATGCATCTGTGTATTAGGCAAGTTAGTCTTCAGAATGTCCCTTCCATCCCGGCCTCAGTCCTGTTTTCTTAGCATATTACTAGCCATTTCTGCTGCCTTTAAAATGCCTGCACCAGGACAGGCCTTAGGTGAGATATGTGCTAATTATGCCCTCAGTGTTTGTGCCTCACAGGGTTCTCTGGAATGAGGATGCTGTCCCAAATGACACACTACTTCTGGTTTCATCAGCTGCATTTGGGATGTCACAGTGATGCTGTTGTGTGAAGATTCTGCCTCCTCAGGTGCAGGACCTATAGGAAACTATGCTGTTTTCACAACCCTGTTTGTCAGTGAAGTCTCCACCTGGGCCCCATCATCACCTGGGGGTGTCACAGCTCCTGCTGACTGGGACTCTCCTATGTAAAACTCCATTAATGTTAGTAATTAGTACTTAATATTCAGGATATCTGAGGTGTCCATGGCCAAAGGCAGGAGGCAGAGGAGCCTGGGTTCTCATGCCTGTTCTATGGACAGTGCATGCAGAAGGATTCAGGGCTTCAACAGGCACTTGAGAAAGGGATCTCGCATACATAGGGCTTGTGAATGTAGAAGGGCTGGTTACACCATAGAGGCAGTGTCTGAGCAACTGGTAGTGCAGAGCCCCTTGACTATCTCTGAACCCCGAAGTTTGTCTTAGAGTAAGGGTTTGGAGAGCTTGCCTTAACACCATGTGTGTTACTGTAACTCCTCAATCTCAGCTGCACTGTGCAGTAGTCTGAATGGGCAGTATTGACAAATGAGGCAAGATGCTGTGTGACTTAAATAGCTTTGTGCTGTAGGCACGTGAAGAACTGTGAAGGTGCTTGCCCTGTTGTCTACCTGGCTGCTGATCTGGACTCTGGCTTGCTGCACCTCTGTTGGGTGCAGTCCTGAGCTCTGTGGAACAAGCCGTGGTGAACTAGACCTTGGTGCTTTTATCCAGACTCCTGTCAGTCCTGCTGCTGTGTTTCGGCTGCCAGCTCTTCCCTGGAAGCAGTGGTTTGAAGCACAGCTCATGACAGGGGACTGAGATTAAGAATCTGTGTGTCTGGCTGTTTGCCCCAAAGGGTGGACAGGAGGAGGCCACTGACAACTCTCCAGCCAAGCTCAGCAGTACTGGTATCACAGGAACCTGTTCTTACTGGACAGGGCTGTATGGCTGAGCACCATAGTGGTGGTTGTGCTGAGCACTGAGGCTCTCCTGGGACAGGCAATATGTGGGACAGGGAGTATGTGAGACAGGCTCTGCTGCAGTGAGAAAGGCTGTGAATGAACGATGGAGGAGGCTTTTATTTCTCGGGTTTACAGGGAGAGGAGATAAAGCCAGGAAGACACTGCAGAGTAGGATGGTTACCTGGGCTTTTCTGCTGGTAGAGATGTGACAGACTTCTCAGAGAAATATACCACGTTCCTGCTGCTATTGTCTAGGGTAGGAGAGCTGTGGTCCTGCCTGGAGGAGGCCCTAATCTTATCCAGCTCATGCTCTGTAGCAGGAATCCATGGGATGCAATAGTGGGTGTCTGTAGCCATCTGTCCCATCCCATGGAACATGCCTCAGGTTAGCTGCACAGCAGAGCAAGGCCTGTCTCTGGGCTGTGCATTCACAGCAATGAGCGCTCATCACTACCAGACTATGCAGAGGAAGCTCTGTCTGGAAGGGAAGGAAGCTGCAGAGGTCCCTCTGCCTTCTCCTTCCAGCTGCTGAGCAGCTTTTTATATTGCACTTTTCACGTTGTGTCCCTGTCCCCACCCCACACTTCAAGTCACTTTGTCCTATAGAGAACTAACAATCCTTGTTACTCAGAAAATATTGTAAAAGAAACTACAGCAGCTGGAGTAGCCCAAATGCTAGTTCCTGCCTGCAGCAGCATACGTGCCTTCCCCAGCATCACTCACAACTGCTCCCTATCTTTCAAGCTGTGCTAGAGCCTGACACTTGTCAGAAGCTGCTAAGATAGCTACAAATATACATCCTGTAGAGTTTGGCCCAGGGTGTTCCACATACAGTTTAAAACGCTGATGGTCCAGGCCGTCCCATGGCCTTCACACTGTCAAGGACAGAATTGCCCCATAGGTCCTGGGCTGCTGCCACCCACCCTGCCAACACACCCCTGGCACACTCGAGTTGTTTTTGGCTTTCATGGCACCTTAGCACCAGGGAGGGTGTGCTCAGAGAGAGAGAGAAACATGGGGGAGCTGGCTGGGCTGCCCTGAGGCAGAGAGATGTTTGTAGATAAGTGCTGACCCCTCACTATATCCCCCAGTATATGGCTGTATTAACATGTAACCGATGCAGTGTATCTAAAGCCTTAGAACTAGTCAGGTGCTCCCCTCCAACTTTGTCCCTGCCCCTTTCCTCCTACCTGATCTTTAACAAAGCATTAATAATTCTAAGGATAATCTCTATTTTGTTGTGCTTTTTTTGTAACTGTTTTAAATAAATCAATTTGTACTGTATATTTGTACTTTGGTGAGATCCTTTTTCCTGTTTTACCATTTTAAGTCTGTACTTGCCTACAAACAAATTGTATTTTTATTGTTAATGCTTTTATGAATATTGCATTTAACTTGTTGACTCTGTAAACACAGTATATATCTATATACATATATATATATCTATATATAAACCAATAGCTTTTCCTTTGGTGTTTGAGACTTTTTGCTTGTGTGCAGTATCAGTGGTCATTAGCATGTGGCTTCTCTGGATTTACACAGTGATCTGGAGACTCATGTCAAAGGCAAGATACAGGGTGGAAGATGGATTATAAGTCATAATTCTGTGTTTTCAGATACTTTTGTGTTATGTGGTCTCTCCTGAACCCCTTGGAATAAAGATAAGGTGTCAGTGACAATACAAGGAAAGTTCCAGCTGCAGGTTGGAGAGTAAAGGTACATCCGTGCTGGGAGAGCAAAAACATGAGGCAGAGCAAAAGCAGATACTGCCAGAAGCAACCTGGGGGTTTGAGTATCAAATGAACACAAGTGAAGATAAAAGGGAGAGATCACAGAACAAAAGAGGATATGAACAAAGGAACATGGACCTGAACAGCTCCTTTACAGTGCCTTTTCCCAAAGAGGAGAAGCAGGGATAGCTCCTGGGTATCAGCTCTACATGATGAATGAACATAATATTAAAACAGCTTCAATACAGGGAAGAAGCTTGATATTGCAGTGGCAGGAGGAGAAAACTTTCGCTGAAAAGGTTCAATGCTGTTTCATCCCTTGGGATGCCTCTGAGAGTGGTTCTTTATTGCACAGAAAAGTGCAACATTATGCATTTTGAAGTTAACTTTTTAAACTAGGGCTTTAAGGGACTGCAATCAAATTTTTTTCAAACTGAAAAGTGAGGAGGAAATGAGGGTTTTAAGGAGTCTGATCAAAAGGTTTTGCTTCTTGTTTTAACTTAAACTCTTCTGATCTCAAGCAGCAGTCTTGTTGTCATCATTTCTGACTTAAAGAGAAACAGCCATCAGAGAGAACACAGTACTTCCCAAGGTGTTTGAACCACTGTATGACTCTAGACATAAACTGGAAATACTATGGCGCTAATAGGGGTTTTCAGGCTACAAAACAAAGAAGCGTGGCATACTGGCCTTTGTGGGCTGATGTCTCAAAACCACGAAGCTAACACCATGCATTTTCAGGTGCTCACTCTTAAAGAAGCCAAATAATGGAGGGTGTACCACTTCTTTGCGCTGCCACGAGTCCTTCTGTGCCACTGCTTTGCCTTTTGCAGTTTAAAGATGCCTAGATATAATTTCCATAGTCGCATAGTTTTAATAGTGATTTCTATTAGCAACGGGAACCTTTTCCTGTAGACACAGGCTACGATGACGTTTTGCCTCCAGTGCGTCTATGCTGCTCTTGCACTGGGGACTCCAGCACTGGACACAGGTCTCCACATGTGGCCTCACCAGTGCTGAATAAAGGGAAAAACAAATCCATAAAGTCCTAGAAACTGACGTACTCTATTATTTACCATTCAATCAACTCTTTCACTTGCAAACCTGAAATACTGTTTAAGTGAAAATAACTTCTGAGTAAAGCAGCAAACCTGTTTGCTATTTGTTTACCTTGGCCAGCCTTTCACTGTTTTTATGGGGTATCTTAAAACAGGATCTTAGGTTCCTTAGTTTTTCCATGGATGCCACTGCAACTAAGTATATAATAACGATGATTTAAAAAAGGGTGTGCACAGGTATTTCCAGAAGGACATCCTCCTTTGTTTCTTTTTTATGGGCACAAACTGCAAAGGAATTACTCCTGGAGAACTTTGTGGACTATCTGTCTTCAGCTCTGTAATTCATGCTGCAGTAAACAAGATCCTTTTTTATTGAGGTGGATTTCACCTACAGCAGAACTGCAGCAGTGTAGACGTTTTGGGCAGCAAGGGCCCAGAAACAGATCAAAGCACAAAAGGTAAAGAAGGGGATTAATACATGTGAACATTAATTAATGTTAATTAATACATTAATTTATTTTCATTCTGTCACAGGCTGTGACTTGGCCCCCAGAGCAGACTGTATCCTCAGAATCTGCTCCCATTAGAGCTGCTTTGGCAGGCATCTCTCAGCTCTGGTCTCCTCCTGGGTTCAGAGGAAAACCAGAACCACCTGTCAGGGAGGATGAGGCAGGGACCCGCAGCAGCCTCCTGAGTGCAGAAGCCTGCTAGTGCATATGTGGCAGGTGCAACAAAGGCAGCACAGTTCTTGGCTGTGGTTTAGTGCAACGCATTGTTGCTCTGCTCCTCAAAGGTAATTTTGCCCAGCAGCTGGCTCTCCAGCTCCACGTTGCTCACTGGCAGCTGAAAGAAGTTCATTTCAGCTGCCAGAGCGGCCATGGCAGAGGAGTCCTGGCCAAACTGTGCCCGGAGCATCATATCCATTTTCTCCAGGCGCCGCTTGAGCCTCTTGGCTTCACGCTCGCGGATGAGCCGGGCTTGTCGCTTCTCAGGGGTCTCGTTGGCACGTTTTAGGCGCATGGCTTCCCGGTCCCTCTGCAGCCGCCGTGCCCGCTGCTCATCTGTCTCCTGCATGCGCTGCAGCCGTTTGGCTTCTCGATCCCGCATGCGCCTCACTTCGCGCTCCTCAGGTGTCTCATTGTCCCGCCGGCTCTTCTTGGCCGTACGCTCCCGCTCCAGGCGCTGCAACCGCACTTCCAGGGGCTCATTCTGGCGCCGCAGGGCCCACTTGCGCATGCCAGGCGTCTGTGCCTCCAGCAGCTTTCGGTATGCAGCACAGTTGTTGCACACCAGGAGGATGCCCGCAGGATACACAGGGGTGCAGAAGGCAACATCCTTACCCTCAGTGCAGGAGGGGCCCTGGCTCTGTGGTGCCGGCAGCCGATCCGCACTGAGCACCTCTGGCAGCTTCTCACTGCAAAGCAGGAGGAACGCAGTCAGAGGCTTGGTGCTTTGGGCAGAGTCCCCATGGGCTGCCATGAACAATGCTCCCACTTACAGCCCATGGCAGAGCCCTCTGCTAAATCATTTGCCCACAGATATGTCTGAGTACCTAAAATAAAGCACTCTCCTATTCAGGGCAAGGAAGGGGATTAGCCCAGAGCACTATATGGGTTAGAAGAGTGCAAGAGCGGGAATAATCCAGCAAGCTGCTCCTCCCATCATCTCTGAATTTCTCCTTTTAGCCCCATTCCACTGGTCAGTGTATAATCTCCCACTAGGCAGGACACAAAGAAAGAACATTTTGGTGGTCTTCACCTGTAGTCCTGCTCAGGACATAATGAACACATCTGGATAGTGCAGCTTTACTCCAGTGGATTGCTGGGCAAGGGAAGGGGTGGATTGTTCTCCAGTGACTGGAGCCCACAGCATTTTCTCTAGCTCTGCACAGTGCTAAGAAAGACCCTTTTACCAGCACAGCCTACAGACGTCTTGGCAGGGGATGCAGAGCTGCAGAGAGGAAGGGGTCAAGAGAATCTCACTCACTGGGGATGTTTAGCACTATCCTACAGGCCTCAGTGGGTCCAGAGCCACAACTTCAGAGTAATTCAAAGCAACCCACCTAAACTTTAATGTGCTGCCCTAGCCCACCCATTGGCCAGGGTGACCCTGACCTGTTGAAGGTGGCGTGGCTGGTGAAGCGTGCTCCACAAACTGCACAGTTGGACAGCTGGTCCTCTGAGTGGATCAGGAGATGTCTCCCAAGGGATCCTGGGGAGCTGAGAGCTCTGCCACACACAGGACACAGGTAGCTCTTGGCACTCACCACCGCTCCAGTGTGCTGCAAAACAACACTCAGGTGGTAGTTACATATTGCCCAGCTCCCTGCCCAGTCCAAGGCATGCTCAAACTATTCTGTTCAGCCTCTTGGAATGGGAACCCTTTACCACTAAACCTCTGTCTGCCAGCTTTTAGACCAAGCTCAAGACAAGTAATTCAGTGTGTCACAGGTCAAACAAGGAGAAAATCCCTTTATAGTTCAACTCCAGTGCAGGAGAAAAAATAAAGGCCAAAACACTTGGATTGTAAGACTTGACCCTTGTTTTCAGAAATGCATTTGAAGAACTGCTGGTGCAGGACAAGCCATGACTCAATTAAAGCAAGGCTGGATGCTGGTGAAGAAGCACTTACACGGAGACAACTGGTAAGTTCTGTTTCATTCCTTCTGCTAGAGACTTTGATGTGCTATGAAGAAAGCATTGACAACAAAACCTAAGATTTCACCACAGATTTCTTGAAAAACCGGAATAATTTTGAGGAAGAACAGCTATTCTCATAGGTTATTACAGGAACTGTAATGAAGTATAACATAAATGATCAGGAGGAAGGTTTCTTATCTCACTGAATGATATAAAAATTGCTTCCATGTTTAGTTTGAAGGAACTGTCTGGTTTTAGCCTGAAATACTTGCAGAGACTGCCTTGGCTTAGAGTTATGATTTCCAGATCTGTAGACCAGGGCCTCGCTAATTCTTTGCCCCAGACACCCTCTGGACATAGTTTACAGCTGTAAACTTCAGTCACATCCTAGCTGGAAACTCAGTTCAGAAAAAAGTTAGACCAGAACAAAGTTACCCTGTGCTCTGAGTTGTTTCTGGATTTGAGACTTCAGGCCAGAGATACTCCCCAGTTGGAACTATCCCTACCTGATAGACGTGTGCGATGAGTTGATCTCTGCTTCCACACTCGAGCTGGCAGAGGGGGCATTGTGACAGTCCCAGTATGGGCTCAGCGTTCACACTCTCGGACACCTAGGGGTAGGAAGAGCCATTTGGTGTAAGGCACACAGACCCCCGCAGGCACAACGCCCTTCCTTGGCTCCTCCCAGTGCTGCCATGTGCCCAGTCCTGCCAGGGCTGGCTTGGCTGCTTAACACCTGAAAGAAACCTCCTTCATTCAGCCTCTGAGCAAAACCCCTGCATCTCACAGAGAGGGGGCAGAGGCCTCACAGCCTCACCTGCACCCAGGTTCTTGCCAGCATAGTGACTCGAGAAGGCAGGGCCTTTTCTGTGGCAAGGGTAAGCCAATTGGAGAATGGCACCAGAACCAAGAGAAGGGGATGCATTCTGCAAACATCTTGGGCCAGTTTGTGCCTGCTGTCTCCTGCTCCAGGCAGCCAAAAAGCTCTTCATACCCTTTCCTCCTGCCAGGAGACATTGTTTGGAGGAGGTGGAAGGGAGAGAAAAATAAAGAAACATGATGGGGAGAGGAAGTGGTTAGACAGTACCCTTCTCTCTCCCTGGAGGCTATGGTGAGTGCAGAGCCAGTAGACACTTGCCTCATTTTCTCTTATCAATGGGGTTCCAGCCACAGGTCGTTCTGCATTTTCTAATTCCTTCTTCACTTTCACCATTGAGCCATCTTCCTCAGACGTATGGGAAGAAACTTCATCCTGAGTGGTTTCCTCATCATCACTGCCACCTGAAATGTGCAGAACAGTTTTACCAAGTGTCAGGACCCTGACGGCACTCATAGGCCTTAACTGTCCTGACCAGCATTACAGGGGCTCCTGCCCACCCCCTCCAACTAGGGGTTCCATTTAAACTCAGTCTAGGGCACTTGAATCCCTGGGCATGGCCTCTTACACTGCCTTGCTTGATGACTGCCAGATCTTCAGCCAGAGCTGCTGCTGTTCCCACCCTGCTCTGGTGAAATGGCACTGGGTCCCATGGCATTGCCCAGGATGTGCTGTGCTGGTCAGATCCTTAGGACAAAATCCTGCACTGGAGTGAAGGGCTAACCCGGAGGAGGGGCTGGGTAAGACGGTCCTCAGAGGACTCACACACACTGTGCAGCCCTCAGCCTCACCCCTTTCCAGTCTCCCCAGTCTACTACCTTGGTGTACTAGAAGGGGCAGAACTCACTGCTGCTGGAGTCAGGGTCTTGCAGTGGATGAATTGTTGGCCTTTGGTCCCCAAGAGTTCCAGGAAAGCTATTTTTCATCATGGCTTGGCGGGCTTGCTCCTCCAGCCCTGCAAAGACTTGCTCCCCTAGCAGCCACAAAGACAAAGAGTCAGACTGGTGCTGTTCCATTGCTTCTCATCACCAAAGCTTGCCAAAAATACAACAGGCATGGAGCTGCTCACCTGCACTGTGCAGAACCTCTGGAATCACCTCCTGGAAAGCACTTAGGTCACTTCTCTGCTTGCCTACCCTGCCACACTAGCCTCTGGCACCTGCTGATGTGAGTCCAGTGCCTGGATGTAGAAGAGTCTCACTAGTGGCAATGTGAGCACTGGGCTGCTGTCCGCATACTATGTGTATGCCCACTCCAGCCACAAAATATCTGTGACTCCATATATCTGCCATAAATAGCCAGGTGGCTCTTGCTGCTGCCAAGCTATCCACCAATATCCTACAGCACAGCTAAGGGTGGGGGGAAGCCCCTGGGGACTGTGACAGTATCCCAGATCAGGGATTTTACTGTATAGCTCTTCTAAATTATTAACTCTTATTCCTGGCTATAGCAGGCATTTCACTCAAAAATAGCACCTTCCTAAGTGCCTGGTACCTCATCTGCCCTCCACAGTGATCTGAAAACTAGGGGTTGTCCTTGGCATGCTCTGTCACTTTCTTCTGTCCTAGGAGAAATGAGGACAAGCTGCCTTTACAGAAGGTGTCTATGCTTGGAGCTGGTGTTCTCCTGTGTATATGATGGATAGTAAACTACACTGCCTTGCCCAGGAATAGCTCTCACTAAAATAAATCTCATTGGCACTTCATGTGCTCAAAACAGAAACCTAAGGGAATGACTCCAGAGATCTGAGATGCATGCTTAGGGCAAAACAATTTGTTCAGTTGAAAACAGTGACCACTAGTACTTCAGCTCAATAGGACATGGTGAACACCTTGAAAGAAAGTATTTACTTGTGCTCTAAATGAAAACTTCTTACAGCAATCCCTGCTCAAAGAAGTTTTGGTTCCAGAGAATAACAATAAAAGGCAACCATTAATTTTCATATTAAAGAAAACAAATTACATTGTTCCAGGTGTAATCATAATTTACCTTTTCCAGTGGATGAGCTGGGGGGCTTGGGAAAGGTGCTGAAGCTCCCAGCAGGCTGGCTTTTGAGGTGCATTTATCAACTGATTTCTAAGTGCTTAAGAACCATTCAAAGCACCAATGTGAAAATGCCAAGGAAAACGCAGTGCATTTTTCACATAAAATCAAAACACAGCTTTCAGAAGACAAAGTTACCTTTTAGTACAGGGCCACAGCTGGCACCAGTATAACCAAGAAATTGAACTCCTGAGAGAGCACCAGTCCTCTTACAAGGACAGGTACATTCCCACGTGCTGAACTGTTCCAGCCAGTGCTGCTCCATGTTCCCATTCACACTGCCTTCCTTGGAGCTCACCGTGCAATTTTGGCAGGGCTTTAAAAAGCTGTGATTTATAGAAGATTTCAAAGACCTTCACAAGTTTCACTGAGATTGTGGGAGAAGAGTTTTAGTTACCAATGTCCCCATGTAGGTTTCCAAAAGCATTTGAAGGCTTTTATCATTCTCTTTCAGAAATGTGAGAAAGAGTGCTGTAAAGAAGATTTGAGAACACAATCCATGTGTCTGAGCAGAGGTGCTGAGGAGCACCAAGTCTATTTGTCATTGAAAGCAGCAGGGACTGCTGTGACACCGCCTCAGAAGCCATCCCAGCACTGAATGGTTTTCATGACCTGGAGTGATGTTTTTATATTGGGACTACAGCCTCACATTGGTGGGACTGAGATACAGACTGTACAAGCAGCATACACCACAGAATTCCAGTGCCTCTCCAAGAAGCAGAAAACTACAAACCACCAGGATAAAAGTCCATAGACCAAAAAAGCATTGCAAGAGAAAGCATGGTGAAATGAGGAAACCTGCAGAACACAGGACTGATGTAAAACTACGATGGCAGATGTGCCGCCACCTTTGACAGAATTCCAAAACAGAATTCCCAAATGCCACTGAGGCTGCTCGTGGAAGCAATTACGTGTTTGTTTTCCTCCCCCTATTCCCTTTCAGACAGATTATACTCCCACTGAGGAGCAGCCCGGAGTCCAAAGGCAGGGCAGGTTCCTGCTCAGCTATACAAACCATGCACACAGTCTGCAGGATTTAAAAGCTGGGATCTTTATCTGAGGTGACAGAAGAAGGAACTTCTCACATAAGGAACACTGTCATCAGTCACAGTAACTGAGCAATTGTGTGTGCCTCCAGCCTTTGTGCAACATCCCCAGAGCCCTGTGAGCATTGACTCGGCACAGTGCAGAGAACAACCAGCTTACAGCCAGCAATGCAAGCTGTTAACCAAACCCGTGCTGTTAGCAGGACATGTCCTGTGCATCCTCCCCAGCCTCTACCTAAAAAACATCACGGGACTGGGAAAGGCAAACATGGAAAAATACTGTCTTCCACCTGTACAAAATTTCTTATATATTATAGTAATACAAATGAACTTAGGAGTGTCCTGTTCATCTACTGACAGACTAAGTCCTCCTTTGATGAATCTTTACAGCTTTAATGTTGGATAGGTCCAGGGTTATACTTTTGATGTTTCTGCACACACATGCTCATGAACAGACACACCCCCACCTCCACCCCACTTTGGGTATGCTTCCAGTCACTTGGAAGAGGAGTTGGACAGGCAACAGCTTTAGGATCACTGCCATAAGTAAAGGATGTTATGCTCAACAGTGAATTCACAGACTCTTCTCCAGAAGTTTCTTTATTAAATACAAACAGGGCTGCAGGCTGACCAAACACCAAAACAAATCTCTGTATTTGTTTACAAACCGCTAGAGATGTAGGACAAGAGAGATGACACAAATGCCTCTGCTTTGTATTCCATTCTCCTCTCCATACTGCTGGGAATGAGAGGGATGCCAAGTCAGCAGTGCTGGAGATAGGGGACAGCCCTGTGGTACTGTATATCATGGGCAGGCATGACTGCTAGGGTATCAGCCCTGAGCCCTTCCCTTCTTGAACTGTATGAATGCAGGATAACTCTCAGGTGTTCTGGAAAATAAACACAGAAACAAACAACTCCCACCCCAAAATCCACAAAACAAAATCCAAAGGGACTATATAATTCTCCTGCCTTCCTTCCTAAATAGAACAGTCTCTCAGAGATGAGTCAGTTTATTCCCTCCTTGTACATAAATTAAAAGTCCCTGTTCATGTAGGTCTTCTCTGTGTTCCTGGACCTGAAATTTGCAAGTCTTTCCACCACTGTGGATCTATTCCACCTGCCCAATGGCTATTCTGGGTTGTCCACACTGCTGTAGTGGTTACTGAAATGAAAAACAACACAATTGAAACGGTTAACAATGGCAGTCCACGGAGCCCTTCAGAATCAAGGGATTTGATGCAAGTAACATTTCTGCTCGGTTGTGAATGCTGGGTGCTATTTCTTGCAAGATATTGGTCCCTTCAAAATGGGACTGTTATAGACAGGAGAATCCAAGGAACACCAAAGAGCACAGAACATATGTGTATTAGAGAGAGAGAGAGGGAAGGAAATAGAGGATTAATGGGTTATTGGAGCCATGATAAATAGAGCTCAGAAGCAGGAATTAATCTGACTACAAGCTCTTATCTAGAGTTCTAAAATAAGCATCAGCTGCAGAAGACAAGCAATAGAAAGCAAAGCAGCTTGTGGACAGCAAGGTGAGAGAAGTGCATGCTAATACCTGCAACAAATTTTGGCAAGCACAAAGACAGCAAGCGGTCCATGACTGGTGGGGTGACAGCACAGTAACAGATGAATGCAAGAACTGATGAATTGTTAAGAGTTTTTATAATTTTATACTGCATACTCTGGGAGAAAATAAAGACCAAATTGAATCAATTAAGGCATCTCCCCACAAACAACCTAACTGCATTCTATTTTTCAACAAGCATATTCCACTATTCCTGCTCTGTTTGTTAGCACTTTGTCAGGTGTTTTTCATGCACCACATGGCAAAACAAAATTATATTCTTAAGAGCCATTTATGTGCTGCAGGGGGAATGACTAGTTAAAATTGTGGAACTGGTCATCATGCACAGAAAGACTTTTGTGATAAATTCTACCACAATTTTTATCATTGTTTCAGTACTATTCTGAATTTCCTTACATATCAACTTCTATTTAAAACTGTTTTGTAACCATACAATCTCCTAACTGGTTGCTCTGCTTGCCAAGCAAGTGATTCTGTCGAGAGGACAGAAAATCATGTTGTGAGAGCAAGGTGAAATGAGGGCCAAGCCAAGCCTGGAAAGTAACCCTGGAAAAAGGAGACACCAAGCAAGCCAAGGAGAGGAAATTGGCAGCTGTCACTCACCCTAGTCAGTCCAAGAAGGAAGAGAAGATGGAGTGGCCATGCAAGGAAGAAGTAGGCACCATCCTCCCATCAAATTTGTCCAGTCATATATGCACAGTCGTATTTATGCAAATCCAAAAGGCAGTCCCCCAGCCCCGTAGCCTGCCAAATCAGACCCCAGCTGCAGGCAACTGCGTAAAAAGCTGCATACCTGCTGTCCCTTTCATTCCTCTCCTCCCAACCACTGCAGACCCTGTGAAGAAGTCCCAGTAACGTGTCTGCTATGTCTCAGCCTGACTCCTCATTCTGCTGGCTCACCCCGTTCTTGGAGCCGGTGTTTTCTCCGATTATCCTCGTCAGGGCACTGCACGGCATTTCTGGGCCCTCCAGACACACAGCAGGCTAGGTAGACAGAGAAGTCCCAACGATTTCGTGGTGTTCATCATAAGACAGACAAGAATTTCCATCCCAAGGTGAAGACATCACCACTGACAAGTTTCTGGTATCTCTTGGTCCCCTTATTTTCTTGTGGTCCTATTTGCTGCTCTCGATGGCTCCTGCTGAATAGTTGCTGTTTAGCAACATACTGCATGTAAAGGAGATGAACAGGTCCCAGAACTCCATTCCGTGGCATACCTGATGCTATAACCTCCTGCCCCCTGGTAGCATGTTTGTCAGATAGCTTCCTCCAAAACCAGGACCAGAGATACAATCATTTGTATTGCAGATAAAAAAAGCAATGTTCACTGTGAAAATAGTGCACCACTGAATTTTGTGATGTGTAGAGTTTTGTATGTGATAGTACAATCTTCTGAAGAACACAGCCCTTATGCAGTGAAGTACAGAAAAGTACCCAGCTAAACACCATGGAAACTCTATCTGCACCATTAGAGCTGCTGTAGTGCTTGATTTCCATACTCAAGAGATCCCGACTCTGGCCCACGGAAGACAGCTTAAGTGCATACATGACATAAACCTGAACTCAGTAACAGCAGTAATACCTGAGCACTCTAAGAAGCAGAAGTGTGTGGACACAAGGCATGTTACTGGCATCACAGGACAAAATACTGGACATATCAAATTTCTCTAAGAATGACAACTCCAAAGTCATTAATGTACTATCAGACAAATTACACCTATACTCTGCCCACAGTGGAACCCAGCAACCAGAAGCAGGAATCGGAGAGCACAAGGCAATGCAAGTGCCACAAGCCACACTCCTTGAGAACCTCACTCTGGCCAACAAGGACAGCTCAGTTGGCTCTGCCAAGCTGCCCAGCCAGTGGGGCTGCAAGTCCCAGACAGAGGCAGCTCTTGCTAGTGCACGCACCGAGTGTGCAAGGAGTCAGCTCCAGCCCAGTGTTCCCCCTTGCACAGAGAGCAGCATGCACAGACGCCTGTTGCGTACCTGTGCACAGAGGCAGCACACAAACACACAGACATGCAAGCCAGTAGCAACAGCAATGAGGCAGTGTTAGGGCTGCAGCACTCAGCTCTGTATCGCACTCCTGACAGCTACTGCAGCCAAAAAAACCCAGGGCCCTCTCAGCAGCCTTGCTCTCACAGATCTACAGAAATAGAAACTTATTTTCCTAATTCCAGCCCAATTTCCAAGCATGCTTCCAGCCACAAACCTGGGTATGAACAAGGGCATAATTTCAGGCCCCTCAAATTCCCTCTGCTGCCAAACAAAAGCTATACATGTGTGGTTTCCCCTCTGCAGCCAAAACTCCATCTCTGTCTCCCAGCTCCACTGGTGCCTGGCTGTAGCCTGCCCGCAAGAAGTGCTGATGCAGAGCATCTTCAGCCCTTTCACTGTCAAACAAATGCTAAGGCCTTGCCAATGACAGAGAAACAGAGATCCATCTTACCACCTCAGCTCAACAACAATCTGGCAGACAGCAGTTATTTGTCCTGTAAATTACTTGGCCACCACCCATTCCTTGTCAGGAAAGAGCAAATGGCTTTATTTCATCCTCTGTTAGAAACTGAGGTACAGAGAGTTTAAGTAACATGCTCAAGGCCAGTCAGCTGAGTCTGTGGTACGATGAAGATCAAAACCCAGGACTTGCTGGCTTTTATCCAGCAAGCTCCAACCACCTAGAACTTCCTTTCCTATGCAAGAGGGCCAGAGCCCCAAGCCACATTTTCTAGTGTTCTAACTTGTACTTTTGACAGTGTGAATGCAAAGCCCAGCTGCAGGCCCTGCACATACATGCCTATGTTCTCAGCATCAGCTGTTTGTTCAAACCTATCCCTGTCCTACTAAGCCAGGACACAGCCAGCTTCTCTGATGCACAGGGTTCAATTTCTCTTCTTTTATAGCCTAAGACAGAAGATGAGTAACCACCATTCCCCACAAGCTGTCCCTTCCCATCACTCCCATCATACCACTCCCCCCACACCTCACTCCACAACCCACCCAGAGCAAGGATCCCACAATGCTGCATAATGTCATACTCACAGTGAACTTTGTTAGGAGTGGTCTGTTTCCGACGGGACATGTTTTCCTGACCTAGGAGCACGGAGTGTTCCCTCCCCTCTGCGGAGGGCTCATCTGAGAAGAGAAGAGCCTGTCACACACTTCACTGCAATCCTCCACGTCTCTAGCAAAGTTCTGCTGGCTCACCCAGGGTCATTCCCCACCCTTCTGCATCACCACAGCTGGATTCCAGGCCAGCATCCAACACAATCCACAAGTATGTCAAAAGCATCGTACATAGGCAGTCCTGCCCTATTCTCAGGTAAAGACTTAAGCAATCCTGACCCCCTCAAAAAATGAGTGTCCCTTTCAAAAATTATTCCAACCTCAGTCCAAACACGCTTCTCTCTCCTGCCTATTCCTACAGCCTAATAATCATCCTTGTCCTTGTACTGAAAGAGCAAGGTGGCATTTACAACAGTCCTCTCAGAAAGACAAAAGGAGGAGCTGAACCCATTTCCCACAAGACACATGTACATAGAGATCCCGCCAGCCTCCTCAGAGAGACAAACACAGGGATTTCATCAGCCTCTGGCTGACAGAGAGACACAGACATCCCATCAGCTTTCTCAGACAGTCGGACAAAAGGATCCAGTCAGCCTCGCACTGCCTGGCAGACACAGGGATCCATCAGCCTTCTCAGACAAATGCACACGAAGAGCTCGGCAACCTCCCCAGACAGCGGGATCCGGCCGGCAGTCCCAGAACACGGGAGACGGCAGGGAGGACCGGGCCCGCAAGCGGCCGGACACACAGACAAAGGGGTGCGGCTCCCCTGGCATCAGGACGGACGCGGGAACCCTGCCCGGGTCCCGACGTCCCGACCGGGCAGCCCTGACAAACAGACCGGCTCCGGCTGCGGGGGTCCCGCCACGGGGCCCGTTTCACCCCTCGCAGCGGCAACCCCAGCCCGGCGCGGCTTACCCGGTGCCGCCGCGGGCGCCGGGAGCCGCAGACAGACAAAGGGCAGCGGACAGACGGACGGGCAAGATGGCGGAGGGCAACGCCGGCCTGCGCGACGCGAGCGCAGGCACGGGGGCACGGCAGAGCGGGCACGGGGGCACGGCAGAGCGGACACGGCAGAGCGGGCACCGGGGCACGGCAGAGCGGGCAGGGTTCGGCAGGCGCCGGCAGGGCACGGCTCGGCCGCAGAGCTCAGGTGCCGGCTTTACGTTACCTGAAGTGTCTCACCTGTTTGCCATGGATCCAGCCCAGCGCCCGACGGAGCTCATCCGTGCCTGCGACGGGGCTCACTTTTCCCGGCGGCCTCCGCCGGCAGCCCACCGGGACCCCTCGTGCCACCCCGGCTCACCAGAATCTCGCGTACCCTGTAAGGCCAAAATGCACGGGTTTAGCATTAACTCAGACCCACGGCGCGTCCTAGGAGCTCGCGCACCTGCTGAGAGGAGAACCGCGCCACCCCGCCCCGGGGGCTCGGGGCCGCCTCCCCTCACGGGCCACCGAGCGCCGCCGCGGGATCAGCAGGCCGCTCGGAACGCCCGCTAGGCCCGCTTACCCGAGGGCTGCGGCACCGGGACCAGGCCCGGGCTGGACTTCGGTCCAACTCTCCTTCGCGGTGGCGCCAGCGCCGTGTGGCCCTCAGGGAGCCGAGGGCTCCACAGCCGGGTCACGGCTCCCGGCGGAACGCCGCGTTGCCGGAACTGCCGCGCCGGGGGCGGGCACCGGCGGGCGCCCATCAGGCGTGGCACCAGCGGGTGACTGCAGGATCCCTCCGCCGGGCTATATAGTCCCTCTGCACCGCTCTCCCGGACCGTGCTCGTCTTTCCCCAGCCGCGGTTCTGCTAGGGCCGCATTTTCCGGGACAGCGCCCGCCGCGCCAGCTCTTCTGTAGCCCGGACTAGGTGCGGAGAGTGCCGGAGACTGGGTGCGGAGAGTGCCGGCTTCGAGGATCACTCCGCACGTGATGAAGTCTTGCGGAACCGAGCGCCATTTTGCGTGGCGGGCCTGCGGAGCAGCGGGTGGTGAGTGCGGCCGTGGGGAGCGCTCGGCGTCCGAGACGGTGACAGGGAGCCATGCCTCAGGGTCTCCCGCAGCCCTGGGACTCGCTCCTGGGATCTGCTCCGCTCGTGCTGTGGGATGTTCTGTCGGTGCCACCTAGCTGGGGTGGGAGAGGGATTTCTCCCCTCAGCCCTCAGGTGCAGCTGCGCCGGTGGAGCTCATGTAGGGCCTCCTGCACACTGTCCGAACTATCCCTGGGCATTAGGCCAGACGCGGCGAGTCTCGCCGAGCGGCTGGTGCGGCTGGCGGCCGTCCTGGCAGCCGGATCAGGCCATGGGTCGCTTCGCTCTGGGCAGTGCCGCCGCCGGCAGGGAGGGATGGGGAGGTGAGATGTAAACCGAGGTCTTTCTATGTGATATCTTTTAAAGAAGCTTTTCCTTGATGAACGGTTTTTGCCAAACAGAATGCTATAATTAAATACTGTTATAGTTTGCTTTCTGTAGGGTTAATAAGTTGAACTGGTTTCTGGGAGACTAAGCATGTGTTCAGTACGTAAGAAGAGTTTGGGGAGTGCGAAACAGCAACTTTTTCCTTCTGATGAAGAGATTGTTATCTTAGTTTCTAACCGCCCTCGAGTTAATTATATAGCTGCTTTATAACTTATATTTCGATAGGGCAGAGGTGGGCTTGGCTCTTCAGTTGACTTTTCCGTTTTTTAAAAAATGTCCAGGAAGTTTCTTTGAAGTTCTAAGGCCAATCATATTGGTCTTGGTGAGGTGCAGGCTTATGATGTGGGAAGGGAAGTAATGAGCACGTAAGGTTCAGTCACTTATAAATAACTAGATTCAGGATTGTTTGCTTGGGGAATTTCTTGGCCTCCCCCCCAGTAAAACAGTGTCTAGTGTGCTGACTGACAGTTCTTGGTTCCAGTGACCATCCCTCTTCTCCACAGAAAGTGTTTGTCATGTTGGGCTCTGGATTCAAGGCAGAGCGCTTGCGAGTCAACCTGCGCCTTGTCATCAATCGCCTCAAACTACTGGAGAAAAAAAAGAGTGAGTATTAAGGGGGCATGTGGGACCCAGAATGCTTTTGGGGCTCAGGAGAGTTGAGAAGGTATTTCTGAAGTTGGAGTACTTTCATGGGCCAAGAATGGAGTAGCTTTTTGCTCTTCCTTGCTAGACCAGGCCTTACAACCTGCCTGGTGTACAAGGAGCTGGAAGAGCAGTCTGGCCTCTGTCCACTTTTTTGGTAGCTGTTGGAGTGCAGTTTGTGGGGTCGTAGGTAACAGCTAACATTTGTGGGCTGTTTGTGCTAACAGCACAGTGGAGAACTCCCTAGGTACTGTGGGAGACCCTCCCCACCTGCCCAGCCCTGACACAGGTCAGGTCTGTGATCCTGGTTAACTCTGCAGGGAAGTTGTAGATGCAGGAGTATTTCCAGCAGCCTAAAGTCCACTTTCCTTTCTGCCATGAGTTGTGTGCTCAGACCTGGACATGCCAGACCATACCTGAGTGTCTCAGGCTGCAGAGGTTAGATAGGGGAGAGAAGCTGGCTTTATGTGTGATAGGGACTTGTGGGTGGTCTGGAGGCAGCAGCCCAGGCCAGCACAGTGACCAGGCTCGGGATGTGTGCTGCAGCTGAGTTGGCCCAGAAGGCAAGGAAGGAGATTGCAGATTACCTGGCAGCTGGAAAAGATGAACGTGCCAGGATTCGTGTGGAGCACATCATCCGTGAAGATTACCTTGTGGAGGCCATGGAGATCCTGGAGCTGTACTGTGATCTGCTGCTTGCCCGCTTTGGCTTGATCCAGTCCATGAAGTAAGCTTTGGCTGAGAGGGTCCTGGACTTGGGAAGGGGCACTGCTGGGGGCAGGTCTGGCATATAGAAGGGCATCTGTGTTTGTCTCTCCAGAGACCTTTTCTTCCCCATGTAGGGAAGACTGTGGAGCCCAGTGCATACGATGGGAACTTAAAGGCTAAGCAGATTGAAGGCAACAAAGGCTGGGTGCACGGGATGAAGAGAGAATTGTTTTCTTTGGTCATAGGGAGCTGGACTCTGGCCTGGCAGAGGCAGTATCGACACTGATTTGGGCTGCACCACGCCTTCAGTCAGAAGTGGCTGAGTTGAAGATTGTGAGTAGGGGTGCTTGAGGGATGTTGCGCATGCAGGGCAGAGGTGATGCTGCCAGATGCTGATGGAAGCCCTTGTCTGGGACTCTATATCACTAAAACAGAGGATTTTTATGGGCTCTGCAGATGGAAACCAGATGTCCATGGAGCATCTGAGGTGGCTGCAGCTGCTGAACTGGGGTACTCAGTGGGAAAAATGAGGGAGGGAGCTGAGTGGATGTGTGGTTTGAGGTGGGGGAAAGCAGGGGTATGCATGTTCTAGAGTTTCTCTCCTGCTGCAGGTTGCTGATCAGTTGTGTGCTAAGTACAGCAAGGAGTATGGGAAGCTCTGCCGGACAAACCAGATTGGGACAGTCAACGACAGGGTGAGGAGCTGGTAGAACAGGTTGAGCTGGCAGAGCAGTCATGCCTGCTCCTTGGGACTGTGGCTAGTGACTGATGGTTGCAGTCACTCTGGAGCACAGGAGGTGCTGTGCAGCCAGGGCCTACTTGCACTGGAGCATGGTGCTGAGGGTCAGGCAGGGAGGCCCTGCTCTGCTGATTGTGGATGGGGAAGGGTAGAGCAAATAGAGCCCAGGCCCTGTGGCTGCCTGCAGCATGCTGTACTGGGGGAGGAGCCTCCTCAGGGCTGCCTGCTGCTCCCTGGCTGGGATGGCACTGGTACAGAGCTGATGGGTGCCTGATTGCCCCGACCCTACTAAGCCTCTCCACCCTTGTGTTACAGCTGATGCACAAGCTGAGCGTGGAAGCACCACCCAAGATCCTGGTGGAGAGATACCTCATCGAGATTGCAAAAAACTACAATGTTCCCTATGAGCCTGACTCAGTAGTGATGGTGAGTGAGCCCCAGGATGTGGGATTGCAGTGAACTGGGTGGTCCTTGTGCTTTGGTGTCTTCTAGATAGCCCTAGCATAGCATGATTCTTCTTCCTTCATGCATTCCTATGGCATGTGGCAGTAGTTACACATACTACAGCCTGGTTCCCGTTCTGTTTTCTGTTGATACCACTGTATAGCTGCTCTCTGTTCTGTTGCTGATATGTATTCCCATCTTTGTCCATTGACAAATGCTGCATCTAATGTGTACAGAGGGTAGTGATCATGAGATGTGTTTGTGAGCAGAATTCTTCCACCCTTTCTAGGCTGAAGCCCCGGCAGGCGGAGAGGCTGATCTAATTGATGTGGGCTTCACGGATGATGTGAAGAAGGGTCATGGAGGGGGTGGAGGTGGTGGATTTACAGCCCCAATGATAGGTCATGATGGGTTAGTACCCATGCCTGTGATGATGCCTATGCCCGTGCCAGCAACAAATCCACCCTTCTCCTATCCACCTCCAAAGGGACCGGTAAGTTCCTGGGCTTTGTGTTTCCTTTGTCTGTGAAAGACTCCTAGTGTGGTGCTTAGCCCTGTACCTGATAGCTCAGTGTGTCAGCAGGCCATCTTCTCAGTGTGAGACTGCCTGGGATGGAGGCTGTTGACAGTGCAGCTGAAGCTTAATATGTTGCATCTTTTCTGTGGAGGTTCCTACCCCTATTCTCCAGCCAGCCCTCTTTGCCTTCAGGGAACAAAGGAGTCCAGACTTGACTCCTGAGGCAGTCTTGTGACTGCCGGGCTTTTGTCCAGGAGTTGGAGCTGCACTTTGAAGTTGGTAGGCTGGTAGTGTGCCAGAACTCAGTCAAAGAAATCAGGTGAGTGTTGTGGGGTGGGAATAGCACAGAAAAATGCAGAAGAGTCCTGCCTTCAGACCTGCAAGGGGAGAAGACTGAACCAATGCCTGTTGCAGGTGATTTGTTCTAAGGGTGGAATGTGGGATCTGAAAAGAACTCCTCCATTCTCTGAATTAAGTAATTTACAGGATATCTGTGTAGGCTGGAGAGCAGAATAGTGGGATGGCTTAAAGTTTTAATATGGTCCCAGTAGTGCTGAAGTACTTTTTGTGGAAAATCTGGGCCAAGTATCATCAGCTAGCTGTTGACCCAGGCAGAATAAACATCCTGAGGGCTTGTGCCAGCTCTGGGTCCTTGAGGTGCTGTTGTGTGACAAATGAGGGCAGTTCAAAGCCTTGTGTGAGCCAGAAGCCACTTTCCTATTCTGCAGAACTGTACACAGGGCCAGAAATGGCAGTGTATTTCCTTTATTGGCCTGGTACTTCTCGTGCCTTGAAAGATTAAATGTTTACCTGTGCTGGTTCTTTAGAATAACCCACAGTCCAGTTACCTGGGTCTGCCTACTCCAGGTAACTACATCTGTCTTGAGAATCTCTTCCTTGTAAGCAAAAACTCTTATCCACTTGAATACTTGCCTGCATTTATCTAAGACTCTATCCTGTGACTCCCATGGCAGCTGTAGGCATGTGGTGTCTCAGATGAGTAGTCTGCTGCATGACTGATCTCTCTGTACAGGAGAACTTCAGCGGCCTGCCAGTGGGGACCTACCAGCCTTTCACTAACATCCACCCACCACCAATTCCGGCAAACCCACCCACATACGATTCCGTAAGTACCTGAGTTTAATGGCCATTGCAGGCAGCAGAAGGATCCTCAAGAGTGCAGTGGTAGCCACAGAGAAGGGAAAAGTTTGTAAAGGATACTGCTGCTAACCTTTCAGGCTTTTG